AGGTCCAGTCTCTTCGTGACGGGAGTGAAGCTCTCGACCATTTGGTTATTTGGTATCTGAGGGATTCGTGTGCGCCGTCATATTTGTTGCTTGTTGGTATGAATTTCCTGACATCAATGTGCTAGCGATCTCGACGATATCCAGTAGTCGTTTGGTGGTATTTGGGAAATTGGACGGACATCACTGAACGCCTCTAACTCAGCCACTTTCGCATTTTGCCATACGTTATCCATTTGCTTGCTGCTGACTCAGATCGATACTGCTAAACTATGGCAGTTCTGTGAAGATTATGTATTTCTTTACTTGTGGGAACCTAAGGAGAAGCGAACTGTCAGGCATGATTGGAAACAAGTTGTGTGCCCCAGTAGGAACAACAGTCTTGAATTCTGGCTGATCTCCACGTGATCCAACTGAGTCTAAGGTTGATTTGTACTCAGTCGCTGAGCTGGTCTCAGTGGACAACCTAACGACCATCTACCCTACCTGAGCTACTAACATTTTTATAGTAAATTGTGTGCCCCAGTAGGAACAACAGTCTTGAATTCTGGCTGATCTCCACGTGATCCAACTGAGTCTAAGGTTGATTTGTACTCAGTCGCTGAGCTGGTCTCAGTGGACAACCTAGCGACCATCTACCCTACCTGAGCTACTAACATTTTCCTCTATAGTAAATCCCATCTGCCTGTCCACCGGAACTTATACAACTACCACCCACCGCTTCGATTGGCTCGTCTGTAAGCATGAGGCTTAGGTTTGACCTCATCCACACTTTACACTTTGCATCCGTGGGGCTTAGATCAAAACCTGCGGCAAGATTATTTAGATTATTTAAAACGATTTGCATTTCTGAAGAATCCGAACCAAGGATGGCAACATCATCCGCATACTCAATCTCTGTGAGGGAAGGTCCCGGGAGCATTCCGACTCCCGAGATATCACAGGCAGACGGAAAAATTGAAAGCAGCACATCAATAATAAACTCGATGGGAAAAGACGGGAGAAGAAAGCATTGTCTTACACTGGTGGACGCGGTGAACTCAGGCGAACTCAGGTCGCCAGACATCAAAAACTTATTGAGGTCAACAGTCAAAACCATCTTTCAGACCAATTAAAACCACCAAGATAGAACGTTGAAAAGAGTTGTTCCTTCAAGGTAAGGGTGTAGTCTATGTATCTTCGGTCAGCGCAGAACCGAGCTTGATTCTCACGCATTTGTCTCCCAGTAGTCGATCAACCTGCGCAGATCAATGCCAGAGAACAACTTGACAATCTGAGTGGTACTACGACGATTTTCGCATGATGTTCTTGCGCCCTTTTTGGAGACTGGGATCATGAGTAAGGTGCTTCATTCCACCGGTATTCTGTTTCCATTCCAAATTTTCCTCATTTAGGTCGTCGGACTGATCACCAGGACCTCATTACCTTCTTTTAGGAGTGCAGACCCTCCGGGTCAGGTGTCCTATCGCGCTGGGTTTGTGTTGGTTGGTGTGGATGTTCCGTTCTCTCTCCCTGAGTTCTTCTTATGGCCAGTTTATAGAATCAGTTGAAATATAGCATGACTGTTACCTGCAGCTAAGGCCTTCCCCATCTCACGGGCATTCGCACTCCACCAGCATTCTTCAAGCTCTTGATTATTCGGTGTTTAAGAGACCTGCGTGCGCTACCATAGTTGCCGATTATTGGTATGGACTTTATGGCAGCAATAAGATTTGCAGATCTCAATAATATCCGATGTTCATTCAGTCGAACTGAACAGCTTGGACAAAGCTCCTTAACTCGCTTCCATTTAACTTGACTCCGGTTACGCCATTGTGCGCACCCGGTTATCACCCCGCTCTCCGTCACCGTTGCGTGTCCAAGCAGAGGAATTCCATTCACCAACTTCGAAAAGTTCCAACAGCTCAACAGTATCGGGCCGGTATGGCGAGAAGGCTTCTGGAAACACAGTCACATGAACACATTGGTCATTTTTCTTGATCTGCTGCTTTGGAACAGTATCGGGCCGGTATGGCAAGAAGGCTTCTGGAAACACAGTCACATGAACACATTGGTCATTTTTCTTGATCTGAAAGCTGCTTTGGATTCTGTCTATCGTCAGAAAATTTGGCAATGTCTGGTGTCCCTTCCAAATTCACATTTTTTGTGGGGGTCCTGTATGCGAACTCCTAGACGCGCGTACGAGAATACGGCAAGCTTTCACCTGAGTTCGCCACGTCCACTGGCGCAAGGCAAGGCTGCCCTTTTTCACCTTTCCACTTCAACTTTGTTATTGATGTGCCGTTTGATTTTAGCTTTATTTAGAGTATTAGGCCTCCAACAAACAAAACCTCTGCCCCCCCCCCCCGCACAGATCTCGAGTATGCAGACGATATTGCTCTCCTTGGTTCAGGTGCTTCCAAGTTGAAACGATTTTAAATAACCTGGATAACTCTGCCGCGTGGTTTGGCATGCACTTTCTACATGCTGCTGTGGGACTGGGTTGGATCAAACCCAAACCTCATGCTTGCGACGTGGTAGTAAATTTGTTTACCTGGGCAACTGTATAAGTTCCGGTAGTTATATGTATACATATATTAAGTATTATTCAGCTGTAACACCCTTTCAGTGCCTTGCTGCCATACCACCCAGAGGATGCACAAGGGCTGGGATACTGCCAGGTTGCCTAAGCCTAGACAGGGGGAGTCGAGAGGCAGAGGTCGGGTTCAAACTACGGACCTTCCGGTCAGTAAATTCGCGCTCTAACCGCTTAAGCCATCTCGGGGCAGTTTTGCCAGCCTCCGACACCCATGGCGCCGACCTGACATGAGTTCGTCTGCCAAGGGCAGAGTTCACACTGCGGCGGGGCGATCAATACTCCTTTATGGATCAGATATATGGTCTCGAGGCGCACAGGGCACACAAAGATGTCAAATGACTATCGGTATCTCCGAAGCATTGGTCAGGTCTGATGGGGACATCGGATTAGTAATGCTGAGGCTACACTGGTTAGTACGTGTGTTCTGCATACCAGAAGATCGTTTGGCTCACAGAGCTCTTTTCTATACTCTCCCTCTCTACAACTGCCGCCATCCTGGATGAGGACCCCGGGACTCGACTGACCAATAGTTAATGACGCTGGCAGAACTGGCTCATGCATCAACTGAGTAGGCCATCGTACTGACCAATGGTTAATGACACTGGCAGAACTGGCTCAGTCGGTGGTGCTCATGCATCAACTGAGTAGGCCATCGCCTCCAAGACTTGGCCTAGGGTGCAAGGATCATAGATGATAAATTGACTTGATTGATTGACTGTCCCTGTCTTCATCTCTATGTTTATCTACGGATTTCTGATCCGAGTTTCATGGTCACCCTGAGGCCAGAAACATCCGTTTCCCCGCTGCGTACTTATCCATCGTACCGGTTTTGTGTTTCTGCTAGAAGCGTTTTGAAACACAGCTTTGAGTGTTACTCTCCCGAAGGTTTTCACCCACATCCTTTGTTTAACGTCCTGTACCCAAGTCGATTTCACCCCTCAGGTTACCATCTCAACATAGGCTAGTTGGTTTGCTGTTGGATCAGGCACTCTTTTCGTCACAAGGACATAATTATTGAGAAATTGAATCGGGAACTATAAGATGCAAGGAGGGGGTATATCACACATCCGAAATGCGGATGAGAAGTTACCTTCTTGTTCTATGGACTGGAGATAGCTCAGAGCTTAGGATTACTGTTTCAGTTTATGGTGACGGTGTGGCCTGTGGCAACTGTGAAGACTAAGGCGCTTGCAGGTGTAGACAGAAGCCATCAAGTCGTCAGTGTAGAATTCGAACTGTCTACTTTCTGAAACGGAACCCGCACTCTAACCTTCGAATTCGTTCAATCTCACATAGTCATGATAACAGCCTTCAGATGCTGCTGCAAAACCACGACCAGCCGAAGTCCCCATCGTTCGCAAAATTCTCTGGTGAAGTCTGCCTACTAATATTTGTAGATAGTAGCACGGTGGTGTTATTGCGTTTCAGATCAAACAAGCCCGAGACATCTAAAGGAGACTGCACTCAATAACTACTATTCTACATAGAGAGCAAGCATACTTGATCATGTATGTTCGCAGCTAGAGGAAAGGACGATTCCCCCGAGTAAAGATAATCGCGGTGTCAGACGGAAGGCAAACCATGAGTCCGTTAAGGAACGTAAGGACCATTCACAGAAACTACTTCAGAATGGGCAGATCGGGCTTTATCTCGGCTCTGGCTTTTTTCATGTAAGGCTGTGTGTAATTTCTTGTTCGAGAAGGCGTGATGCGACTTCGCAATTGATGGGGTGATTGGAAAATAACGAGAGATAGTCTGTGACCTGGCAATGAGAGGGCTCATCAGCCACCTCGGGACTAAGTCCGCCGGTTAACTCCACCAGCAGGCAAGTGATGGCATTTCCACATCAAAGCTACCGCCTTCAACACTTGTGTCACCAATTCCCCACTTCTCCAAACAATTAAACGGACTCAACACCAACCACCTATATCCGCCTATCCCATTTTCTGGTGACCTAAATTGTGTAGATGATAAACTGTCTGGTGAAGTCTGCCTACTAATATTTGTAGATAGTAGCACGGTGGTGTTATTGCGTTTCAGATCAAACAAGCCCGAGACATCTAAAGGAGACTGCACTCAATAACTACTATTCTACATAGAGAGCAAGCATACTTGATCATGTATGTTCGCAGCTAGAGGAAAGGACGATTCCCCCGAGTAAAGATAATCGCGGTGTCAGACGGAAGGCAAACCATGAGTCCGTTAAGGAACTTAAGGACCATTCACAGAAACTACTTCAGAATGGGCAGATCGGGCTTTATCTCGGCTCTGGTTTTTTTCATGTAAGGCTGTGTGTAATTTCTTGTTCGAGAAGGCGTGATGCGACTTCGCAATTGATGGGGTGATTGGAAAATAACGAGAGATAGTCTGTGACCTGGCAATGAGAGGGCTCATCAGCCACCTCGGGACTAAGTCCGCCGGTTAACTCCACCAGCAGGCAAGTGATGGCATTTCCACATCAAAGCTACCGCCTTCAGCACTTGTGTCACCAATTCCCCACTTCTCCAAACAATTAAACGGACTCAACACCAACCACCTATATCCGCCTATCCCATTTTCTGGTGACCTAAATTGTGTAGATGATAGAACTAACTGGTGTGGTTTCGTGAAAAATGTGATGGAGCTGTAGGGGGATTGGCTTTGACCAAGTTGTGCTGT